AGTAACCAGTTGCCAGCAGAATGTTCTCCGTTATCTAACGACTAAAATAGTGTTGTGGAGAATGCAACTTCTCTGAGGAAACCAGTCGCAACATGCATGTAAATCAGTGAATAGCAATTAGCAGTGTCAGAATTGGACTCGAAGTCACGGTCCAAACTGCCTCAGTTTAGTAGAGAGCATAGGACGGATGGAAAAACATAAATAGCAAAAGATAAGAGAGAGTGGAATGGCCATTTCTGGCTTGTTAGCCGTCATAATCTAGTCAATCCAACCCTGTGAATCAGTGGTTAGGCTGTTGGACTCCTAACCAACACGTCGCGCGTTTGAGCCTCAGAGATTGTAACACCTGGGGTTAAATATGGCTGACGGTTGACGGCTGATAAGTCAGAAATGACCATCCCGTTCTTCATCGTCTTTGTTGGTAATGTTATTCTGCCTATAGCACTGGCCGTTATGCGCCTGCTGGCAAGGCTCAAGAGTGATCTCCAAGACATAACGGTATGAGTAAACAGAGACAGGTTATCTGAGCACCTGTCACTTGACCATCATATTAAACTGTCACTATGTGCGCCACTTTAAGAACTCGCATGAAAAGAGGTCATTTATCCAGGCCAAACGGTTAACGTAAGACATAAACAGTCGATATTCGCAGTGGCGCCCTGCTGGACCGGAATCCTCAGTACGTGCGATACATCAGCTCGACTATTTTCTGATGAAAAAGATCCGATAGTGCTTTTTTTTGAAACTTAAGACATGCAATAAGCTCTTTCGGTTCATTACTACTATTACTACTACCACTACTATATTATTATTAGAATGGTAAAACACAGAGCTATACATCATTATTCAAAATACGTGAAGAGTGACTACTTCAACCCAGCAGCGCCAGTTTTGCGTATTTGACTCGATTACAGTCGTTGACAGTTAAGACAAATTTTTGAGGATAGGCTACCTTGTGTTTTCCGGGTGTTTAAAAAATGAGCAATAATTCCACTTCTTGGAAATATCGGACATAGTATAAAACTATTTCGGTGATCTCTTAAAACTTCTTGGAAATTAACTAGTTAAGCATCATACTAGTACCGATTATGCCTGGACTTGTGACTTAGGTATCGTGCAACAGCGAGAGAGAACAAATATTTTTCACCCGAAACTCCTCGGCAACTTGGCACGAAGAGCAAAAAGGCCTTTAGGAATCGCATCCTAGTCGTTTTTTTACGAACCAAGAATTGCTTCTTTCGATAATGATAACATAGGACTGCACACATTTAAAACTGTTTAACAGATATCCCTGTCTGTCATATGCTTAAAGTCTCTAGAATCGTGACAACCACCTAACACCTAAAGTGCTATACAGAAACTGAAGTGAAAATCCCCGGTACCATCACCTGAGAACTTTCAAGCTTTCCACATCTTTTGGCTGGAAGAATTTTCCATCACCGCGGAACTTTCTTTTAATGTTCTTGGGATTGTTTGTTGATTCCTAGAAGATGACATCTACCACAGTGAGGTTATCCACTCAGACGACCTCGAGACGGATGTGGATCCGGAGGTTACATTTGGAAAGCGTTGTGCCTTCTACTGTCACGAGATTACGCGCCTCAGGCAACGTACCACCTGTCTGGAGGAGAGTCTGCATGAAGTAACCACCCAAAAGCTCACACCCGCGCGTCTCAATGAGATTAAGGCCCTGCTGCGAGTCACACAACAACCAAATCCGTACGTTGACTGCTAGTTTGTCTTCATTTTCTAAAATGGACCAGTTTGGTGACTTAGACATCCTCAAACGCAGGTCGGCGATGACAGTTATCCACGTCAGAGCACATAGTTCTTAATTAACCAGGTCTTCAACTGTACGAAGGACGCCCTCGATTAACAAAGTTTTCGGTGACGACCTTTTGAGGGGTTAGACTGGAGGGTGTAGAACGTTCTTAACCATTGTACGTAGTAGGCATAATGGTTTTTGGTCATTGGAGGAAAAAACCTGACGAATGAGTCTAGTAGGTGGCACATGTCAGTCCGACTATCGCGAACGAAGATGTCCACCGCGTGCCCCACGGAATAGTGGACTTAGGGACGGTGTCTTGCGCGTAATACTAGACTTGTTCTGTATTTAACACTTTCTCCGCTCTCTTTTCGAGTCCACAGACGGGGTCACCACTATTAGATCCGTGAGACAGGCAATCGATACTGCTATCCCACACTAACAACATGTCAAGCTAAGCCAAGTCCAATCCTCTGGATATGACGAAAGCGACTGCGTACCCTGTCTAGTGAAGAGGAACAAAAGGAGCAAGATGTCCGCTATTGATTCGATATGCAAACTAGTTATAGTGTTGCGGCAAACAGTTGTTTACAAACTTGAACAAAAGGTAAAAAATTCAAGTAACAGAAAGGCATAGCAAATAAAATTAGTCTAGGAAATTGTATACAAATGGAAGTACGACAAAGTCCTAAATAAATAAAAGTTTGGCAAAGGGCTACCACTACACTATCTCCTCCCTCATTCATATGGACGCAATGTCAACAAAGAGTCAAGAAAACTGGGGGCGCAGGCGGCTGGTGAAGCGTGAGCCTGCGCCCAGGTGTGCTACCACACCCTCCGTTCCACGTACGGGATTTGCCTGGGTTGCACCATCCTAATAACGCATACCGTACTCTGATCTGACTGACATGTTTGTTTAACGCAGCTGCCGCGTAACCTGTTGTAGGGACACACACACTTTGGGTCTGAATTGTGCCTACAGTCTGCAACATCCCAAGTATTTACTGTACGCGTCGATTGTCAAACTCCTATGTAATGAGGCATGCCTTATCTGCTACTCTGGGCTCCAGACAAAACGAAGAGAGCGTGTTTTCTATGGTAGACACGGTTCACCGATTGCGTTACAGGACCTACTCGTTCCGTTATGTCTTGGATCTCGATCTAGAATCCCGTAGACATTCGACTAGCGACTTGTAATATATGCCCAATAGAACTGTCAGGGAAGGCAAGAGAGGCTGAAAAGGGAAATTCGGATTTATTAACCATCATCAGCCAGTCATAAGAACCCCAGATTTTGCAATCCCGCCAAAATCAGGTCACTTTGGTGCACCTTCCGGCTCTGCCAAGGCTCAATTTGCGCAAAAAATTATTCTAAAGGACGCATACAATCAGCGAATCACGAAACTCATGAACGGTGTGCTCTTGATTTAATTGGAGAGTCACAGCCTTTGTACACTCAGCGTTTTCATAATGCCTACCCCAAAAACTAGTTCTGTCCGGACTTGGTTATATGGTTTATCCACCCGCAATACAGATGACATTGTGTTTACTTCCAGGAAGGATACATACTACTGTCTTCTACCCGTAGTCCAATCCTTAACCGCAACCTTCACCTGAACCTTGACCCTTAACACTGAAGGTAAACTTCACAGCAATCCCAACCTTAACCCTAACCCTCACCGTAACCTTACTGTAATCTCTTCAGGATTCAGAGTCAAGTCACCTGTAGTATGGGCGTTTTTATCCATATTCCTTCGAGGGAGGGGGCAAACAAAAGCCTTAAACCCTGCTTCTTTTTAATTCTTTCATTTGTGCCACTTGATCTACACACCCATCAACCTACTGTGAAACACTTTTGTTGCGCTTGTGACACCCTTTGAATGTCACTCTCCCGGCTATTTCCTGACTGATGGATCCAGAAGCTGTCCAAAGACATTTACCTTTTTGATTTATAACCAGAATTCTTCCCTCAGTTTCACATTCGATATATTACGCAGAGTATGCTCCCCTAAACAGTCGAAATTACGAGTCGCAGGAAGTAACTGAGAAGAAGTAGACGCAATTTCCGGGACAAGAGCGTTATTCGTCTGACTTTTCGGAGTCCAACTCGAACCAATTTTCAGATAAAGCCAATTTGTACACAGGGGATTTCAATATTTATAGAGTAACTCGCTAAGCTAGTGCACACATGACAATTAACCATTCATTCTTCATCGAGGATGATAATTACTCTACGGTACACTAATTGCTTGATGGCCGTATTTCGGCCATTATCTGCTGAACTTTTATCACCCGTGTCGGAGGTTGACGCGCTGAGGGATCAGTTATTTGCCACTTTGGCATTAGCGTTGGAAAATGTGATCGCCTGCGCGCTCCCCCGAGTGACTGATTGCCCCTGCCAAACTGAGTCTCAGCACTGAATATGGCTTGGGGGCCCGTAAACCATGGCTCAAGCAGTTCGCGGCTCACGCCAGTGTCATCTCTCATCGAACTTGAAGGTATGACCAGATATCATCGAATGAACCGCGACTTGACAATTGACGTCATTCCTGCGCCCTGTTGCCGCACGTTCGACAATTCGCCTACGGAACAATCTCCCAGTTTCTCCGACGTAATTACTTAGAGAGAGACACCAGGTCGCCAGGTGAATAAGGTTCTTACCTCAGCTATCGCGTCTACTTCCTCTCATAATGCTCCCTATTCGGTTGTTTAGTTTAGTGGTAAATTCACTCCCATCTAAACAGTTGCTTTGAACGCGTAAAGAAAAGACTGAATTTGGTGGACCGCAACATCCAATTTCAAATGAATGCGGAAATTTGCGGCCAATCCCCTTTCATTCACCTCCTTCTGCATTTGCGTTCTTTTATCCATGTGTCCTACACCTTACTCGTTATCCCTGTGCTATCCTGGAGTGTTCGAACTCCAGCCTTTGTTTAAGCGTACTTGATTACTGTTTTGGCTGTTACCATACTTTGAATTTTACCTTGACAGCCAGAAGTTACGTGCTGAGCTATAGCCTGTAAGAATTTGCCACTTCTTCCTTGGTAGGAATGTCGCCCGCCGTCCGAAGAGGGGCAACACACAGACCCGCCCTCTGAGCATGACCGCCATAGATCTACCAATGAGGAAACTCCAGCTGGGCAAGGTTTCAGACACTCGTAAGCGTAGTCAGTGTAACCTTGACCGATCGCATTCGGAGATGACAGTTCGCAAGGTACCACCGCTAGTTCGGAGACCGACAGTTCCTTCTGCGAAATCAACGGCGG